CGTAACCCGCGTGTACTTTACGTGTGTGTGTGTGTTTGTGTGTGTGTACTAGCACGTGATACTCAATGGCCCATGCACGGACAGCCGTTTTCTGATTCACGACATGCCGTGTTTGGAGGCTCACCCTCGTTCTGCCAAGAGGAAGCATGACCTGTGCCAGTCCTGCCACTTGCCGGCATATACGATTGTAGACTGTGTGCATTCAGATCTACACTACTAGTAGTGTTGGGTGTCGAGGAACTGAGGCCAGCCTAATAGCCTAGGTCGTTCTTCTTTTTTTATGTACTGCAGTCTATGCGCAGTGTACTAGTAATCACCGCGCACATGCACCAGACGCAATTCTCCGCAGTTTCCCGTATTTTGCAATTCAGCCGTGGAATTCCCTGCCGCCAGCTTTTCTAGACTCCGCCCCTACTCGCAAACATCTTCAAAAGTTTAAATGCAACCTCAACGAACACCTCCGCCGACAGGATTGGCGATGGTCCACGGACATTCTGCCTGTCGACCCACCTACATTCTAGTGCCCCGTCAACGACTCCCATTGCTACGATGCTGCGCTGCACACTAGCTGATGTTAACCCTTGTTAACCCTTGTTAACCCTTGTTAAAGGGGAAGTTAAGGCAAAAATTAAAATTTCACCAGTTGTAGTCTTCGGGGTGCTGAGTCGAATGGTCTTGGTCCGAGGAAGCTGAGACGCTCCCTTCCTACTTGAATCCCAATCGAACTCGCGCACTTCCACCGAAACTGGGTGACTGCGCCCTACTAGATGGGGATTTGTATGCAAAATGTCACTAAAAGCGCCATTTCGTTCTTATAAAAGCACGGATGACCGCGATTGGCCCATATGTTGTAGTCTTTTGGACGCTGAGTCGACTGGTTTTGGTCCGAAAAGGCTGCGATGCAGCGTTCCTCCTGTATTCCCAATCGAACATGGTTGAACAAGCGGTCACGTGCTCCTGGGTGCCCAAATCACCTGGTCACCACGCCAGCAGGCGACAACTTTCACACCAAGGTTCAACTCGAGTGACAGGACTGCACCCAAAAAAGGTCAAACAGGCTAGTAAGTTGTACTCTGCAGGCATGGTGACCAGGTGACTGGCGTACGCAGGAGCACGTGACCGCTTGTTCAACCATGTTCGATTGGGAATAAAGGAGGAACGCTGCATCGCAGCCTTTTCGGACCAAAACCAGTCGACTCAGCGTCCAAAAGACTACAACATATGGGCCAATCGCGGTCATTCATGCTTTTATAAGAACGAAATGGCGCTTTTAGTGACATTTTGCATACAAATCCCTATCTCGTAGGGCGCAGTCACCCAGTTTCGGTGGAAGTGCGCGAGTTCGATTTGGATTCAAGTAGGAAGGGAGCGTCTCAGCTTCCTCGGACCACGACCATTCGACTCAGCACCCCGAAGACTACAACTGGTGAAATTTTTATTTTTGCCTTAACTTCCCCTTTAACCCTTGTTAACCCTTGTTAACCCTTGTTAACCCTTGTTAACCCTTGTTAACCCCTGTTAACCCCTGTTAACCCTTGTTAACCCTTGTTAACCCTTGTTATTTCTTACTTTCTTTTTATTTTGCTGACCCGTACACCTCTATCTTTGTTTTTGGCCGTGATGCCGAGACCTCAGGGCGGCAGAGCCATCAATGCCCCACCATCACGGCTGCGTCTCGGTGCAGCCCCTACTCAGTAGTTGTCACGTTTGTCCTAGTCTCAGTACCATTGTCTTTCATTCTTATTTACGAGTTGGGTACTAGTATGTGAACATAGTAAAAAAAAAAAAAAAAAACAAAAACAAAAAACATGTCAGTATGCAGTGCTTTGTGAACTAGCCTATTCGTTCCTCGGCACTACGTTCTTCGGTGCCCGGCAGTACTGCAACGTCTTAAAGGGGAAGTTAAGGCAAAAATCAAAATTTCACCAGTTGTAGTCTTCGGGGTGCTGAGTCGAATGGTCGTGTTCCGAGGAAGCTGAGACGCTCCCTTCCTACTTTGATCCCAATCGAACTTGCGCACTTCCACCAAAACTGGGTGACTGCGCCCTACTAGATGGGGATTTGTATGCAAAATGTCACTAAAAGCGCCATTTCGTTCTTATATAAGCATGGATGACCGCGATTGGCCCATATGTTGTAGTCTTTTGGACGCTGAGTCGACTGGTTTTGGTCCGAAAAGGCTGCGATGCAGCGCTCCTCCTTTATTCCCAATCGTACATGGTTGAACAAGCGGTCACGTGCTCCTGGGGCCCAAATCACCTGGTCACCGCGCCAGCAGGCGACAACTTTCACACCAAGGTTCAACTCGAATGACAGGACTGCACCCAAAAACGGTCAAACACGCTAGTAAGTTGTACCCTGCATGCACGGTGACCAGGTGACTGGTGTACGCAGGAGCACGTGACCGCTTGTTCAACCATGTTCGATTGGGAATAAAGGAGGAGCGCTGCATCGCAGCCTTTTCGGACCAAAACCAGTCGACTCAGCGTCCAAAAGACTACAACATATAGGCCAATCGCGGTCATCCGTGCTTTTATAAGAACGAAATGGCGCTTTTAGTGACATTTTGCATACAAATCCCCATCTAGTAGGGCGCAGTCACCCAGTTTCGGTGGAAGTGCGCGAATTCGATTGGGATTAAAGCAGGAAGGGAGCGTCTCAGCTTCCTCGGACCACGACCATTCGACTCAGCACCCCGAAGACTACAACTGGTGAAATTTTGATTTTTGCCTTAACTTCCCCTTTAATTAAAGGGGAAGTATACCCTAAAATCAAATTTTCACCAGTTGTAGTCTTCGGGGTGCTGAGTCGAATGGTCTTGGTCCGAGGAAGCTGAGACGCTCCCTTCCTACTTGAATCCCAATCGAACTCGCGCACTTCCACCGAAACTGGGTGACTGCGCCCTACTAGATGGGGATTTGTATGCAAAATGTCACTAAAAGCGCCATTTCGTTCTTATAAAAGCACGCATGACCGCGATTGGCCCATATGTTGTAGTCTTTTGGACGCTGAGTCGACTGGTTTTGGTCCGAAAAGGCTGCGATGCAGCGTTCCTCCTTTATTCCCAATCGAACATGGTTGAACAAGCGGTCACGTGCTCCTGCGTACACCAGTCACCTGGTCACCGTGCCTGCAGGGTACAACTTACTAGCCTGTTTGACCTTTTTTGGGTGCAGTCCTGTCACTCGAGTTGAACCTTGGTGTGAAAGTTGTCGCCTGCTGGCGCGGTGACCAGGTGATTTGGGCAACCAGGACCACGTGACCACTTCTTCAACCATGTTCGATTGGGAATAAAGGAGGAACGCTGCATCGCAGCCTTTTCGGACCAAAACCAGTCGACTCAGCGTCCAAAAGACTACAACATATGAGCCAATCGCGGTCATCCGTGCTTTTATAAGAACGAAATGGCGCTTTTAGTGACATTTTGCATACAAATCCCCATCTAGTAGGGCGCAGTCACCCAGTTTCGGTGGAAGTGCGCGAGTTCGATTGGGATTCAAGTAGGAAGGGAGCGTCGCAGCTTCCTCGGACCAAGACCATTCGACTCAGCACCCCGAAGACTACAACTGGTGAAAATTTGATTTTAGGGTATACTTCCCCTTTAAGACGTTGCAGTACTGCCGGGCACCGAAGAACGTAGTGCCGAGGAACGAATAGGCTAGAAGTTCACAAAGCACTGCATACTGATATGGTTTTGATTTTTTGTTTTTTTACTATGTTCACATACTAGTACCCAACACGTAAATAAGAATGAAAGACAATGGTACTGAGACTAGGACAAACGTGACAACTACTGAGTAGGGGCTGCACCGGCATTGAAGTTGTCTGGGCATGTATTCGACTCAGGACCGCCGGAAGCAGTTCTCAATTGGTCCGGTCGTACCATAGTATTTCATACAGTTTGTGTATAACATGGTGGGGAGTCTGGGGACATATACCATAGTCTTTCATAGTAATACAGTTTGTGTATAACATGGTGGGGAGTCTGGGGACATATACCATAGTCTTTCATAGTAATACAGTTTGTGTATAACATGGCGGGGAGTCTGGGGACATATACCATAGTCTTTCATAGTAATACAGTTTGTGTATAACATGGCGGGGAGTCTGGGGACATATACCATAGTCTTTCATAGTAATACAGTTTGTGTATAACATGACGGGGAGTCTGGGGACATATACCATAGTCTTTCATAGTAATACAGTTTGTGTATAACATGGTGGGGAGTCTGGGGACATATACCATAGTCTTTCATAGTAATACAGTTTGTGTATAACATGGCGGGGAGTCTGGGGACGTATGCCATCCTCAGCAGTAACCTGCGTTGGTAGCTACAAAGTTGGTCCGATGTCTACCTGACCAACGGGACCGGTTCCGGCGGCCCTGGATATTGTGTTTGCACAAACGAGCAGTGTTTCCTATGACTGAGTGATTGTACATGTATGTTCGTGTATACTACAAGTACCATCATTCCTTTCACAAACTAGACTGTTAATGCTGTGTATCCCCAAACCTCATTATTTTTACCCGTGTGGCCTACGCAATGCATGACGGAGTCGTGCAAACCCTGTAATGCACAACGTACAGCAATACCACAAGGAATAGCACTACATCATGACAGCAGGCATCTACACAGACTGCAACTAACCTGGTTCTCGGCTTCCAGGCTTCGTGTGACTAGTCTACGGCGCGCAAAGAAAACCATTTTTCATGTTTTGCTTCTTTTGACTGTGTACTGCGGGTAAACCGACTGCAGCGTGAATGTACTCCTCCAAACTCCAGCTAGCTATGGTCATGATGGATCTGGACGCCGGCCGGTAGATAAGTGTTGAGTTCTGCGGTAGTGCGGACCTGAGCCAGCTAAGCTGAGGGCGGCAGCAGACAAGGCTGTAAACACTGACAAGTACTTTAGTGCGCTAGTAACAGCTAGCTAGCTAGCGTCCTCGAATTGCGAAATAAATGCAGCCTCGCGGAGTATGACACATTGTGCTAATAATAATGTGAAGTTGAAAACTGTGCTTTCTCTCTATTTTTTTGCTTGTAAAGCTCGTTCTATTCTCCTCTGAGGAAAATGGTCTTTGAAAGAGCCTGTACGTAGTGTAGATGTAATGCTTGTGTTTGGCTGTGCGCACTAGCTGGCTCGCTGCATCGCGAAGTAGTATTTTGGAGTAGAGACTTGTGAAGCACTTCTACTCACTCCTGGCAAGTCGGACTGCCCAGTATCATCCTCGATCAACGCGTGCGGTGCGGGGCAGCAAGCTTGGTTTTGTACTCGCAGTCCACGCTTTCATTTGCAAAATGGAAGGTAATGGCGCGCCCCTCCACGGGCTGCTCTTGCTCCTCGTAGCGCTTTTCTCAAGCGCACCAGTCTGCCTCGGATCCGGAGTTAGCGGGTCGGTACCGTCGGGCGTTCCGGAGCTCGTTGGGCACTTGAAGCCGTTCGGATTCCAACGACCAGCCGAGTATCCCATCGACGAGGTGATTGATCCGTACTCGCTGACACCTGAACAATTCTACACACAGTATGTGGAGGCTGTACGTCCGGTAGTGTTCCGTGGCGCAGCCAAGCACTTCAAAGCCTATAGCGAATGGACCAAGCCTCGCCTGATGTCGCAGTACGGCAAGCTTGAACTAAGAATCGAGCCGCGCAAGGACGGCTCAGCCAAGCACCCGGTGGGCGCGCTGGGGTTCGGCCGCGACACCATGGAGAACTTTGTGCGTGGCCTGGAGACGTCGGATAACTACGTGGTATCGGAGCTGCCCTCGCCCATGTACGGCGATGTGGAGCTGCTACCGTGCATGTCGTGCGGTCGGCTGCTGCGTAAGGTAAGCGAGGTCAACCTGTGGATGAGTGGTGGGGGGACACGCAGTCGCCTGCACCGCGACGCCTTCAACGCCATCAACTGCCAGATCAACGGCACCAAGGACTGGATCATGATCCCGGCCAATCAAACCGACAACGTGTACTTCAAGGCATCCAGCGACTGGGAGCTGGGTGGGCTGTCGCCGGTGAACACCGACTCCATCGACCTGAAGAAGTACCCCAGAATCCGGGACGTGCCCTGGGGCATCACCACAGTAGAGGCTGGGGACTGCATCTACGTTCCGGGAGGTAAGAGAGACCCCGTGATGGGCAGGTCGAGTCTCAATCATGTGGCAAGGCCCACAGGACTAGTTGTGCTATGTTTTCACGATGACAGCGTGAACAAGGCGAGGACGCACTGTATGGGAAACAGTGCTCCTGACTACAACCATAAACCGGTTGGTAGAGCCTGGGTCTTGCGACTATTTGAACCGTATGGGGCAATGCCCCGGTTCAGACCCTCATCATCTTTCTAGGGGCGTAGGTGGTTTGTGCTGGTAGTCAGGAGCACTGTTTCCCATACAGTGCGTCCTCGCCTTGTGCACGCTGTCATCGTGAAAACATGTTACCTATCAGGCAAGGCTTGCATTATATACCATAGCGGTGCTGGTAGAACCAGATTTCAGCAGCTGCCTGTGCCCTATCTCTGTCAGCCTTACCTCTCAGACCCGGCGGAACCGGTCCGGTTGGTCGGGCCATGGCCGGACCCACTTTTGCCCATCAACGTGTGTTTACTGCTGAGGAGGTCATGTGTATACCCCGCTCCATATCCTACACAAACTGTATGAAAGACTAGGGTATGACCGGGGGCAATTATTTATTTTGTGAGTTGGGTTTGTGAATAAAAGTTAAAAAAATAAAAATAAAAATAGCCGGATCAATCGAAAACTGCTTTCCGCCGGTCCTGCCTCTATGCCCTTTCCCTTATACCTGATCTCTATCATTGAAGTTATGCTCTCCAAGCCCTGTACCCTGTGTGTACTCAGCATACCGGTATTGCAGTGTTGAAACACAGGTGGTGATCAGTGCACGATTTGTTGGCATGTTCTCACTGGTCACTTGTCTGTGTTAGTGGTTGACATGGGAGATGTAGTCGTATGATGATATCATATCTAGTAAGGTGGATAACGGACTAAGTTTGTACAGTCAAACCTCTTTAGGACGAACCGTGATCAAGGAACCGATGATATTTGTTCGCAATAACGGGAGTTCTTCTTATCCATATATTTTACCCAGTGAATACACAGGGTTTATCCAATACAGTTACGAATACTAGTTCTTCTTAGGCAAACATTTGTCTTATCAGTGTTCTTCCTAACCAGGTTTTACTGTATTCCTATCCTGGGATTTCGGAAGGTATTTTAGGTATGCTCGGCCATTGTTGGAGCCAATCTAGGTAGGGACCCTGAACTAAAAATATCAAAAGCCAGAGCCAACGATTACCATCAATCACAGGGTGCCCGGGGCAAGAAGTGGTACATGTACTGTCAACAGCGCAATGACTGCAGCACCGCCTTTTTGCCTACTATTGGTGCTGCAAGTATAGTATTGGATTGACCGCAACGGCCTTGTTGTCGTTGTATTGTTGTGGGCATGTGAGATCCCTATTGAACATACACATTGTATACTACACTGCCCTTAGCTTGTGTGAGGATGGTTGTACAGTGCTGGCAACTGAAATCCGACCCCTGAGCGGTGCGCTCACATCGCAAAGACGCAACACGGGATGGTGAAACTACGAAACAGAGACCGCTAGAATGTGGACGCACCGCTAGTAGGGGGTCGGATTTCAGTTTCCAGCGCTGTATGTTGTATGTTGTTGGTGTCATGCACAACTGTTCTTTAGGTCACTATCATCAAGTCAGGTCTTACGGCTTGGTTAACGTTGCCGTGTCCGTGCTCTTCTCCCGCCTGGAGTCCCCGCACGCTCTCGGCTTTGACCCGGCCGAATGCCGCGGTTTGGAGCCGAGGTTTGTGCCGCTGAGCGAAACGCCGGAGATCCTGTGGGCGTACCCGGGTCATGGAATGATGACGATGGGATGCATTGATGATAACGCAATGGTGTAAGTCAGATTCATTTTCTGTAAATCCACTAGTTTCGCCAGCGATTAAATTTTGCTGATTCCGCCGCTTGGTGCAAACCGGCCAAAGCAAATCGTAGGCCAAAGCATGATCAAGCCATGGCTACATGGGAGAGCTTCAACTGCCGATCAATTTCTTTTTTTGACTCCCCCCCCCCCCCCCCTCCCCCATCTGCCAAAGTTTGATGACGGCCAAGGGCTTCATTTCTCACCCGCCGAAATTTGTTGATTTACAATATTACTATTGCAAGACACAATGGGCCAGTGCACAAGGCTTTGGTTGTCGTTGCTACTGCTTAGTAGGTTCATGCACATCGTGCAATCGTTGCACAATCAACATACAACAGCTGTGTGATGATTGCGCAATGCACTACCTGCATTGTCATAGCTCTCATGATAATGATTATACCTTTGAGCACGTTGAGCGCACCAGCTACATCTACTGAAGTAGGTAAATACTTTATGTACACATTGTTGATCAAGATTTGATGTGACCAACCCGGAATTACATTTTTTAGTACCCCCCCCCCCCCTCTCCCCTCATACTCACACACTTAGTAACTGTAGCTATGGAAACCTTACTTCGGTCGCGCCTTGTCACTAATCAGCAATGCTGTGTGTGCGTGTGTGTGTGTGCGCGCGCGCATGTGTGTGTGCGTGTGTGTGTGTTCCGGCGTGTACATGTGCATGTGTGTTTTCGCTCTTACCGTACAGATCCATGATCTTCTCCATGAGTGATGGTAAACCGGTGTCAAAGAAGCAGTTCTTCGCACAAGAGGTAAATCCACAGTGCATCCACAGTGCATTGCCCATCAGTGTGTGAAGAATGGGGTGTGGGAGGAATGGGGTGTGTGAAGAATGGGGTGTGGGAGGAGGGAGAGGCTTCTTAACCGTGCGTATCTATGTCTTTTCTGTGTACATGTATTATGTTTGACCAGTTCACAATTCTGATTCTCGGAGCAGCAATGTCGCTTGGCGCTGGGGTCGTTGTTGGTACTACATGTACTACTAATACCTAGCACGGATATCTGGTCTACATAGGTCATATAAATAATTGTCTGATTGTTATTACCATCTGATAATTGGCCGAAAAAGCCCTGGAACACGGAGTTAAAGCAAAGAGATAGCCTTGTTCCATTGCAAATTTGTGTAGATGGCCTACCAGATGCTATGAATGTTCAATGTGGAATTTTTGTGGATACTCAAGAGAGATATTTGAAAGGTGTTTGCAGTACCGTCTTCTTTGCAGGGGTAGTCTATTGCTATTTTTACAAACGGAAATGCCTTGTAATGTTGCTGCATGCGGGACTTGTGGAGATGTCGCTTGTGCATCGTTGTTGAGACTCAACTAGAAATCTCTCTCTCTGTCTCCCTCTCCCTCTCGTTCTCTCTCACTCACTCATTCACTTACGCGCGCGCGTGCACACACACACACACACATGCACGCACACACACACCATGTACCCACACACACACACCGTGACACACACACACACACACTCTCTCTCTCTCACTCTCTCGCTCTCGTTCCTTCTCTCTCTGTCTCCGCTCTCTCCCTCTTCTGTGTACGCAACTATGTTTGCCACGGTTGACGTTCTTTGTTCGTACTTTCAGAACACCCCCTTTGATCAAGGAGATGGAGGGAAGGCAGTGAAAAAGGTTTGGAGAATACTAACACATGCTCGTACTGAATGAAGAGTTCAATTCATTTTTAAGAATCTCTTATTGCAGGGGGGATTCCCTGGTCTCCAAACCTTTGTGGGTTCCAGTTCACATGCTTTCTCTGTGTTCATACCGGATACTTGCCATACCGTGACCACCAGGCCCCGGGTACTTTGTAAACAGCGGAGCCATCCTTCTATCGTTACCAGTAGATGACAGCACTAGGCAGTATACATATCATTGCATACGTTGTACTGTAAATATACAAAATTTCGGCGCTGCAAAATTTCGGCACGATTTTTGACATTTCGGCGGCAATTAAATTTATTTTCGGCGTGGGGTAGAGGGCATGGTATAGTGCGACAGATGCTGCGAAAAATTTCACCGGCGTTTTAATTTAGGCGTTTTGGGTCGGTGCCGAATATAGCCGAAATTAAATAGCTGCCGAAAATTTGTATATTTACGTTGTATTTTGAAGCACACATTTGAAATAGCAGTGTGCAGACTGTGGTGCTGTTTGCTAACCTTGCTCGGTTTTCAGTATCCTGTTTGCTGTCTGACATGACATGCCGTGTTGCTGTTGCTGTGCATGTTCACCGTGTTCGTGTGAAGATCTGGAAGCTGCTTGACACGGATCAAGACGGCCTCATCTCGCGCTCCGACATCGGTAACATTTCACGCGACGACTGGCGCGAGATGTCTCACATCATGGAGCCTGACGTGGTCTTCTCGAACTCCTACGATTACGAGTATGCCGTGCTGGATTACACCATGGTCAGGTATGGATCATCTGTGCAAGAGTCTCTGTTGAACTTTGCCATTGTCAGCCTGTTCTCTCTGCTTGTTTACCTACCAATTCGCTGTTTGCTGACTGAGCCTTGTCTCTGAAGAGTTCTCTGCTCCGTGCCCGATAGCACAGCTCTCCACAGGATGAATTTCCCGTCCATGTATCGGTGCTGGTCATGCTGTATTTACGTGTGTACCTTTATCTTCTCAAAGTTTTATTTTTTTATTGAAAACCACACTTGAACGTTCAGACATGTGAATGTGCACATAGACAGTGCACACGTGTATGTATAGAGAATGCAGCACAGAAACGGCAGTGGTGGTGGCACTGTCATCCCGTCGCATCTCTATACCCCCCCCCCCCCCCCACACACACACACTCACCCTACCCACGCACCATGAATCTCTAGTCACTACTGGTGCCGGTCTAAGGCATGCTTCACCACCTTGCTGTTGCGTCTATGCATTGAAATAGTTTCGCACACCCACCAGACACGCTCCGTAACTTCTTGTGGATTCTGCTGGGCAGGTATGATGCACCGATGAAGCTTTGAACTAACCGGCATAGAGTAGCACAGCTTAGCGCATTGTGTGGTTTAAAGCAGCAGACAGGATGGTGCCCCTGTATTAGGCTTGTTAGTGTTGAATACGAAAAGGACGCATTGCTCCGGTAGAGCGAGACAACGACGTAGCGACAGTCAACAGCCAGGGAAAAGTGCTGGAATGCCTAGAGAATCGCATCAAGGACCTCACCCCGGCATAGCGCTGCGATTAAGCATTTACAACGACTTTTGTTAAGCATGCGATCAGTAATTGCGGTAGATGATAATCAGGACCAGGACATCACCAGACAAACCAACGGGTGGAGTGGTCAGATGGTGGTAATTCCTCACCTGCCCGTAAGCGCTTAAGCGTGGCTGGGTACGCTGACAGCTGAGCTTGTGCAAACCAATGTCGTTCGGCTCCTGCTACTTCTGCTGCCGTCAGCACCGGTACTGTCACTACTGATCTTGGCTTATGACCGCTTGCTAAACGGACATAGACTAGTGGGGCACTGGTGTTGGCGGTGTCGACGTGGGTTTCCCCCCTCGTGACTGTCGCAGTCTGCCGTCGGGCATTTTGTACGAACCGTAAGCACCAGGCAGTCACCCTGGTAAGACGCTCCCACGTCGAATATGTGGCAGGATCTAGTCGAGATGGCGTCACCTGGCTGGCGAATGTCATACATGGCTTCTTCTTCAGCTCACCAGGTAGTTGCGGAGGGGTAGCAAGCTCCACAAGCGGCCACTCTGCCTCTGGTCTGGTCAGGAAGTCCGGACCACTCCACCATGTGTGACGTCCAACGAGGTCCAGCACTTTCATACCTCGAGATGGGAAGTCGGCTGGGTTGAGGACTCCTGGTACGTGTCTCCATTGGCTAGCTTTGGTGTCGGCTTGAATCTCACCGACCCGGCAGGCGACATCTGAAGTGAAGTTCTTGGCATGGCTCCTCACCCAGTACACGACGTTGAGGGAATCGGTCCAGAACACATGTTCAGCAACAGGAATAGCGAGGGCTTGGCTGACAACTTTGCTGGTGCGCAGGCCAAGTACTGCACCTCGCAACTCCAACTTAGGGATGGTGACTTTCTTGATTGGGGTTGCCCGCGCCTTGGCGAATGCAAGGCTGACCTTCACAAAACCATCCGGATACGCCGCGCGGACATAACTGACAGCTGAAGTGGCGTGCGCCGAGGCATCGGTGAAGGTATGTACTGTGAGCTTCGCGATGTCAGCCTGGCGCTCCATGCTTTTGAAGCATCGTGGCACTTTGATCCCAGCTAGATCTGGTAGTTCTGCAAACCACCTCTGCCACTTGGTCTCCAGCTCTGATGGGAGACGGTCATCCCAGGAACAGCCGAGAATGCATGCCTCCTGGAACAGCAGTCGAGCCCTTATCGTAAACGGCGAAATATGCCCTCTTGGGTCATAGATGCTGGCCATCTTGGATAGGACGCTTCGTTTCGTCAGCCGCTGGTCGTCCGGTGTGTTGTAGCGATAGCTGAACGTGTCAGACGCAGCGTCCCACACGACACCAAGCGTCTTCACGACTGCAGCTGATGCGGCGTCGCTGCAATCATCGATGCTCACCAGTGCGTCGGCTGCTCGGTCGGCCTCCGGGATAGAACGGAGCACGTCACGGCTGTTACTGCGCCATTTCCGCAGGTGAAACGAGCCCATGTGGAGCAGGTCCTGCACCCCCTGCCGTACTGAGATGCCGGCTGGTACTGATGGTTGTGAGTTCAGGAAATCGTCAACGTAGAACGATTCCTCGACCGCTGCTCGGGCTGCTGAGTCGTACTGTTCCCCATGCTGTGCGGCTACCTCCCTCAGAGCTCGGCAGGCGATGAACGGTGATGCCTTCAGTCCGAACACGAGCCGAGTAAACTCGTAAATGGATGGTTGCTCGTCTGTCGACTTGCGCCACAAGAAGCGTACGTACCGCCGATCTTGCTGTTGTAGCTGGACCTGCAGGAACATGGGCTCGTTTCACCTGCGGAAATGGCGCAGTAACAGCCAGTTTCGTTGTTGTGTGTGGCGGGTCGGATGGGCAGGGAGGCTGGGCCCCTGACGCCTGGACAACATGTGCGCGTGCACAAAAGTGTGTGTGTGTGTGTGTGTGTGTGTGTGTGTGTGTGTGTGTGTGTGTGTGTGTGCGTGTAGTAGTAGTAGTAGTAGTAGTAGTAGTAGTAGCAGCGGCCGCCGTGAGAGGAATCGTTTCCGACGATAAGAAAATCTTTCAAATAGTTGAACATCTTGACAATGTGTGTGTTCTCTGCTCTGGTGGAGGACGGTTGTACTTTTCCGGGCTCTTGTTTCTGGCCTCCGTCCGTGCTTGTTCTCGCCGTTGTGGACGGCCTGGGGTGTCCCCAGCCGTCCAGGCCAACAGTGCCTGAGGTGGGGTATTCACCGACAGGAGACTTGGTCGGATAGTTACAATGCCGACACTCTCCTCGTCGCCCCCACCTCGGAGTCCTTCGCGAGGCTTTGCAAGCCCGCGAGTGGAGCAAACTACCGCACGAAGACGACGACTTGGAACGACTCTGAGCGTTGGCTCATGGAATGTTCGCTCTGTTGTGGAGAGTGATGGACCAGTTCTAGCGGCAGCCGTGAGAGGAATCGTTTCCGATGATAAGCCAGATCCATAGCTGCTGGAGATGGCTCTCTCGAACATGGTCCCGCTCGTCGTTCTATATTGTCGGCCCCGTAAGGGGACACGTGACCGTAATGGCAGTGTTTACCAGGACCAGGACCAGGCGTGTATGTGTGTATGTGTGCGTGTGTGTGTGCGTGTGCGTGTGTGTGTGTGCGTGTGTGTGTGCGTGTGTGTGTGTGTGTGTCTGCAGAACTGTCCTGAGTCGTGCATTGCAAAAGCAAGGCAAGATGAGCAGAGAGGACTTCACCAGTGTATACACAGAGGTAAGCGAGGTGTTGAGCCACTTCATCAAACACAGCATCCAGCGAAAATCAATTGTGCACGTATGTTCACGCATGTACCTGCGAATAATACATGGCCGATTTGGCTTTGGGCACACGGCTGCTGTTTTTCAGGAAACCGTGTCGAGTGTACATACATGTCCGCAAGGTTGCACAGTGCTTAACAATGTCTTGTTTTTGTACTCAAGTTGCATTTCTGATTGGTAAAGTAAGCAAGCATAGGACACTAAGCCCGATCAAGTTGGTTGGTTGGCATAATTGTTTTATTTTACTTCGCCAGAATGAACAGGCATTGCTGCCTTCTTGCCTGGACAAGTGGATTGTCCAAGCTCTCACAAAAAGACGAAGAAAGTGTGCAAGGTGTTCCTGCACCACCAATGATCCACCAGGAATTTCCCTAGCTGGTGGCGGCGGTGAATGCCTGTGCCTTTGATGGAATAGAATTGTCCTGTCAGAATTCTGTTAGGGTGTTTGTGACAAAGGTTTCTTTATGTGCTTCTCTCTCCCTGAGTCTCTCTCTCTCTCTCTCTCTCTCTCTCTCTCTCTCTCTCTCTCTCTCTCTCTCTCTCTCTCTCTCTCTCTCTCTCTCTCTCTCTCTCTCTCTCTCTCTCTCTCTCTCTCTCTCTCTCTCTCTCTCTCTCTCTCTCTCTCTCTCTCTCTTTCTCTCTGTCTCTCTCTCTCTCTGATGCAGGTGATCCGTGGAAGTGACTACTATGCCAACAAGGTACTGATGCTGACACTCCAGAAAGTGGGGATTTAGAAAGCAAAAACGTTGTGCTGATGTTTTGTATATTTCCGTCGGTTTTAGCGTATACCATGATATCAGCTGCAGCTGTAGATTAAACAATAGAACATTGCAGAAGGGAAGGTGCAGCATGTCCTTGGCCTAATTCGTTCATAGCTACAGAGGGCGTACACAAACAATCAACATGTAAGTATGGATGGTGACATTTTGTTACAATAATGACGCAAGCCACGCATATGAATAAACATTTCACATACCGTATTTTACAGGTTGTAAGTCGACCCCGATTACAAGTCGACCTCCAGACTCGGGTCCTCGATTTACCGATATAAGGGTAAGGGTAAAGGGTAAGGGTAATATAAGGGTAATATAAGTTATACCCCGGTTGTAAGTCGCCTTCCCCTTTTAGGTCGGTTTTTAGGTCATTAAAAGGTTGACTTATAACAGGTAAAATACGGTAGTTTTAATATTTTGATAAAGAAAAGGCCTTCTTCATGTTGATGGTTACCCGTGTGTGTAAACTGTGTTTGACCACTGACTCTGTGTGCCTGACGTGTACCTACTACAGCTGTCTGACCACTGACTCTGTTTGCCTGACGTGTACCTACTACAGCTGTTTGACCACTGACTCTGTGTGCCTGACGTGTACCTACTACAGCTGTTTGACCACTGACTCTGTGTGTCTGACGTGTACCTACTACAGCTGTTTGACCACTGACTCTGTTTGCCTGACGTGTACCTACTACAGCTGTCTGACCACTGACTCTGTTTGCCTGACGTGTACCTACTACAGCTGTTTGACCACTGACTCTGTGTGCCTGACGTGTACCTACTACAGCTGTTTGACCACTGACTCTGTTTGCCTGACGTGTACCTACTACAGCTGTTTGACCAGCTGGACAAGGCCAAGAAGGGTGCCATTACCTGGAAGAAGGTGAAGAAGGGACTGCTAGAGGAAGTTCTGGAGCCTTTCCTGATGTCCGAGGAAGAAGACGGTGGAAATCACTTTGCCGACGGAGATGGCGACGACGTAGCGGGGGAGGAGGAAGCCCTGGATGGAGCGGATCTGATGCGGAGCGTGATGGGCCGCGATGAAGGTGACATTGAGGGCGACGAGAGTTTGAGCGATTCTGAGCGGGAAATGGCGCTGGAAGAGTACCAGGAGCGTGCCTCACACGTCAGCGACATCCTGGGCTTGGACCAGGATAGTGAGGCCGACACCGACAGTGACAATGAAGGCGGCGAAGAGGAAGAAGAGGACGGTGACGACGAAGATGACCCAGAGAATGCCCGACTACAGGAGCTGTATCGAACTCACATGGAGAAGGTGGAGCGTGAAAGCCACGAACAAGACCGCCTTCCTGAGGCCACCGAGGAGCTCGAGGAAATTATGCCTGCTCAGGGTGATGCTGCAGAAACGTCTCGCAAAGCAAAGACTGAGCTTTGAAGAATCAGTTTCCCACCATTTGCGATTCGTTCTAAGCGCGCTACTGATCGATATTATGCTGTGGTGAGGTCCTAGTAGAGTATTAATGTCCATTCCATTCATGTCGACCTAGTCCTCAAGATTTCAGCACACATCATGTACTGAGTAGTTCCACTCCATGTCACAAGAGTTCTCCGGAGACTCAGTCGACAAACATGCATACCAGTACATGCCCCTCATTCTCTCAGACATACCAGCTACAATTCCAGTGGCATCGAGTGCGGACACCTGCCTGATTCCACAGTGTTCCTCTGCGCAATCTATACCGATTTCTATCGAAACACTTATGAATATCGGAAGATTTGTATTTGATTTCAGATTCTATTACGAAAAAATCTCTATGGCCACTGAGCTGAATATTCACGTTATCTGCAGATAAGCAGAACCCGCAAGATTTATATGATATTGTGCCCCTGTGTTAGGCTCATATTTCTGTCCCACCGTGTGGTGATGTCAATCTCCGGTGCGTCAGTTATATTTCCACTGTGTGAGGTTTGAACAGTGAACACACAAGCGTCGGCACAATGCTGGTTTGCTTTTCACACTGTGTTTGTGTCTGAGTAGCAGCCATCATGCCAGTGATTTATCCCAGTTTTTTTTAGCTAAACTACTTTGCTTGTATTCCAAAAGATATTTCTTACAAAAAGCCTGTAAAACTGACTTGTATGTACACTGACTCTGTCGACTGCGCTTTCATACTGTGCAGATGTGATGTGTTGACGTAGAACACCTGCAGGACACAAGGGATGCGCGTAGCCCGAAGTACTCAAATCCCCCGGGGATGTTTGTGTGTGGAGGGGGTGGGGGGGGGGGGGGGGGTGGGGGGAGGTACAGAGCTTTACAGTACAAGCTGATTTCATCAGATAAGTCAGCGGATTTTCTAATGGGCACTATGTACATGATGTATGTAGCACGGGTCATTGTAGGTGCTAGCGGTGGAGACTACGAGCCTGCATAACGGAGCTTGCCAAATCTCCCCTCCCCAGAAAATGCATGTATGTGTAAAAATGTTATGATCGCAAGGCACACAACGAAAGGGAAGGAGAGGATTTGTTCAGAACTGTTTTGTTGTTGGATTCATCAGTGAATCTATGTGCTGTCCCCGGGGAAAATTGCGATTCCGCGGCCGCGTTTTTTTCCGCGTTTTTTGCGATTTTTTAAAAGACCGCGTTTTCCGCGATTTTCCCGCGTTTTTTGAACTTTTTTGTTGCACTACACGTACACACAGTGCACTGTTCGGTCAGCAACGTCTCATCGTGGCGGCTTTTTACTCAAATATGACGAGTGCTTACACCAGAGACTTGTAACTGATTGATTTCACTACATACTCACTGAAAATTGCCGCACATCAATATTACTCACCGCATATTTACCGCATATTTACCGCAAATTCACCGCAAATTATGCCATATTATGCCGCGTTTTTCCCCACGTTTTTTTGCGATTTTTTCCGCAATTTTCCCCGGGGACAGTATGTGTAACAATGGAATGGGGACTACTTGAAACTAAACTTACTTATATGGACAAATAAAAGATGATGTGACAACGTCCGGAGATTGAGTATAACGCTCCGATCCTATCCCCAGCCTAGGCTTGGCTGAGGACTCTTTCGACTCCAAGCTTTTTTCTTACAAGAGTACGGTAATGTCCTAATGAAACCGAACGAGGTCGAAACTCGAAAGACTCGAAACAGCTACATGTAGCTGTCCAGAGATTGACATGTGACAAGGCCCTATTAAAATACCATTTTTGCGATTAGCCTCGGAGTAGCTAGCCCGTGGCGGATAATGCGTGAAAATTGACAGATTCTAAATGCAGTGGGCAGAGAATGCAAACCTTATGGCAAGCACTTTCTTGAATTCTGCTCCATTTCTTTATCCACATACCAAACATGCATGAAACATACCAGACAAGTACAAGTACCAAAGTCTGCCAATTTTCCTGCCGGCGTTATCATGGTTATCCGCCTAGGGCTACCTCGGGGCCATCGTGCGGATTCGTGCCAGGCGCTAGGCAGTAAGTCACTGGCTACGCCACAGGCGTGATATGAATTATGAGAGTACATAAGCTCTCTGGGACTCGGGAGCTTATGGTTACCGGTATGCACTCGAGTTGGGTTTGTGAATAATAGTACAAAAATATTTAAAAAAAACTCTTGGTATCACCCCGACATGTCGACAGTGTCTGTGCACATGTGATACATGATGCTATTATAGTGCCAAAGAAGACGAAAGCTCCCACCCGTAGATCTACGCTGGTCAGCGCAATCTCAATATCCGACATGCGAAGCGCAGGTGGTAGCAACCAGCGGACGTGTACATGTACAGTCATGTACATGTCCGCACACTGCACCATCGATTCATGCACGCATTGGCAGCACTTCTGCGATGTTTGTGTTGCCTATTATTTTTTCAGGGCCTGGGTTAAATAGTTTGTGTCCTGCTGTGCCTGTCAATACCACACTGATACTGCATGTGTCAGTCAGTGGTGTCAGTTGACATCCTGCAGTTGGACTGGCATTGTGTCGCGGTGTGCATTTCTCATCTCTCCAACACCTTCACAAGAGTCGCAACCAAGGTCTTCCACATAATAATTATTAAAAATTAATAGTCTCCAAATTTCGTTAAAATAGTCTCCAAACTATTACTTTCACCCCTGGGCCTTCATCAGGGAGTATTGCAGTGAAATCAAAGCTGGTTCAGCTCCAGTAGATACATGTACATGTACATGTACAAATACACAAATAGGAGATCCCCCAGATAGGCGTTAGCCTTTGGGTAATCCTGAAATAAAGATTATTACAAAGTCATGTACATGCATACTGCACATGTAAGATCAACTGTGAAATACGAGAAAACAAAGCTGGAACTCACACAAGAACATTGTTCTAAGCCTAACAGTAACACCAAGAGTTCATAACCCCCAATATGGGGGTTATGAACTCTTGCTAACACTAAGACAATATTCAATAATAGCAAGAAGGTACAAGAGAAGAGCTAGAGAGAAAGGGAAACCAAAGAGGAGTCCAGGTGGGGAAGTAAAGGACGGATTGTTCTAAGACTGACATATTATTACAGTCCAGATCTCATAGTGTGCGTTTCTGGTCTGTTTAGTCTCTTCTGATTGAGAAGGACAGTCTGGACACAATCGTAGTCACACCCATCATGGCTCAGCATGTTGTCTAGGCTGTTGGGACTGCACCGATACTGAACCGGGATCGAATCAAAAGCTTTGGGAGTCCCACCACTGCACTCCTGCGATGCAGCTCTACCTGGCAAAATAAAAATAGTTCAAAGCCTCTGGAATGTAAAGCCAATTAATATATTAATTTATAAAACGAAAAGAGGACCAAAAGAGCTACAAGTTACACTATCATATCCACTAACACCACCAGTTACTTTATAATCATCTCGTGCGATAACATTGCACGACACTGACCGACGGTACTGACGTTCTACACCTAAAAACTAGCAATCAGCTCTAGCACGTCTTGGATGCGCACTCCAACAGCCTTCCAGTTTGGAAGGTTCTAAGTTATAGAAAAAATCTTCTTATAAATCGAAAAAATCTTCTGATAAATTAATCCTTGCTTGGCTCTCCACCCGAGTCTAACAAATTATTAATCAGCGGAATTAAATACTGGAATTAAATACTGGAATTAAATACTGGGAACAGTGGGAAGTGCTTGGTGGTGACGTTATTGACACCATACCCAGTACCCAGCCAGTCCTCTACTCAGCCAACCTCTTTAAAATTCCTGACATTGCAGATCTCCGGTCGAGCCACCTGTTGTTGATCGAGGACCGGACGGATGGGGAGTTAGGGAGGGGGGGGGGGGGTCAGGATAGTGACCCGGGGGGCCAGGCGGGCGTTAGAGCGATGACTGTTACTACTTGTAGTATCATGGCCGTATGGGTATCCAGCGTCCGTCCTTTCCTTCCGCACAACTAGTCTACCCAACACCGATCAGCTACGTGCCGTGCAGCGTAATCACTGCAAGGTAATTATTACCGTCGCGACGTCGAGTGATGACAACACTAGAATGTGAGTGGTGCTGGGCGTAGTGTTTATTGTGAGTTTTAAACCAGGCCTGGGTCTGAGGTCAGTCCGCAACCGGCATCAGTGGTGACTCTCCATGCTGGGAGCGCCTGGTCTCTATTAAAGGTAATATCAGTGACAACGTCAGTCTAAAGTATGTACTGTCGACATGTCTCTTAGCACACAACCACTACTACTTGTGATACCATAGAGTACTGTCTGCACAGGTGGCTGTTTACTAGTTCAGTCAACTGTTTGCTGACCTCTGAGTCCATATGCACATACTGTTTCATTGGTCACGTGGGTCTCCCCGGGAGAGGGGAGAGAGACTCGAAAGGAATCTTGGAAAGATGACTCAACACGATTGATTACACACCATGGGGCTGTGTTCCCGAAAATAAGCAAAACAAAATGGACAAAACAAAAGTAGCCAAGCTAGTGGAGTGGACAGCATGCAGGTGGACGTACAGTTAGTGTATGCACAGTCATATGCACAGTCATTGGCGATCATATCCAGGTACACAGGTGATTTTACTAAGTTTTAGGCGGATGCTATCTGTAAGTGGGAGGACAACGCACCACTGCTGGAAATGAAGCCTGAAGGGAAAGACCCGGAAGCAAGGTCTGACACACTCTTGACAATAGTCCATTAGCGTTATATTGTGACTACAGTCAACTTCGCCAATAACGACATTCGGCGGGGCATCAGAAAAGTGTCCTTATTCGCGAAGTGTCCTTATAACCGAAGTCCCATTTGAATGTATGGGAACCCATATTTTGTATAGTATGATATGCATATCAAAATCAAGCTCTTTTCTTGCTCTATGTCAATGTGTACTTTATTTTCATATTGCAGTTGAAAGGAACTAAAAATTCAATGTGCAAGGGAAATCAATTGAAAAATATGCCTTTTTGAGCCATCTACAGGGCTAGAGATATGTACATGTATGATGATTACTGTACAATCATGTACAACTACATGTACATTGTATACATAATTATAGGTGTGCTGGTAAATCCAACAATTTTGAAGCCAACATAAAAAAAGGAAGAAAAGCCCCCCCCCCCTTGGCTGCATTTTCTGGCATGTGTGCAATAAATAATATCCATCACCAGTGCAGTGCACCATAGGTTCTGGTACTTCTGCATGACAGGTACATGTACTTGACTGACAGGTACTTGAAATAGCTGTCAAAAGCCCAGAAAGTCGTTATTCAAGCAGTGAATATGACCACGGGGCACTAAAAGCATGTCGCTATACGCGAATTGTCGTTATTCAGATAGTCGTTATATCCGAAGTTAAATGTATACAGTTAGATGGGACTTTGCTCTGGGCATGGAAATTCGGTCGTTATTCGCGAATTGTCGTTATATCCGCAGTCGTTATTAGCGAAGTTGACTGTATGTCAAGCAGCGAATTATTCCGGCTCACTCGCACTGATTACGAAGTGTCTTGTGCTGAACCGTAAATGTCTACTGCATGCAGGGTCCTTCACAGCCGTACATGTACACGTACATGTACATGTACGGCTTCAAATTTGTAATTTCTTTATTTCTCGATTCCCCAGAGGCTGGAAGGTCTGTCGAGGGGGTCTTGTGCATTCCATGCATTCGTATGTAGGGCTCCCTAGTCTCCAG